GAGAAAGTAAGGCATCAGGATGTTTCTTAGATTTTTTAGAATACAGTGAGCTGTTATGGGTGTAGTGTGGTACAGGAGCACAGGGAGATGACATCAGGTTTTGATGCACTGTATTCAAAGCTGTGGCCCAACTCCACAGGAAAACAGACATGCTCAGTAGGTTGGTTTTGAGGGAGAGGCCTGGACTAGAGACAATGATTATGGAGTTATATGTAGTTAAATCAAGAATATAAATGGATCACACAGGAAAAAGTGAAAGCTAAACAAAATATCTAGCCAACGATGGACTCTGGGAAATACAACATTTTTCCTGAGGGTGGGGGGGAACACAATGTTTTGCTGAGAAAAGGAACAAGTGGTAATAAAGGGCAGTGGAGGAAGGGCTAGTGATGTAAGAGGAAGACGAGGGCATAGAATGTCAGGCAAGAGTGAAGGGTCAATATTTGAGGAAGTTTCTTAAGATAAGGCCCCAACAACAGTGACAGGATTTGGCCTCTGGGGAGCCATAAACATTTGAGGAGAGTAGCTGCATTGAATTATAAGGAGGTAAATGGAGACATGTGTTTTAAGAGCTTTGATGGAAAGATCATGGGAAGAAACCAAGCAGTATCTCAAAGGTGCTCATGATAACAAGTTTCTCACTAAAATGAAACGGTCATGTGCTGAGAATGAGGGTGGAGGAGGGTTATGAAGGTTTGGGGGAATCAGGAAAGGTAACTGTTCTCTAGGAATTCTGAGAGGTCTGTCTGTATCTTGGGCTCTTTCATATAATCAGGGCATTTCGCAACCACAGATTCAGGAAATGATAAATATTTTAAATGGGTATGCACTGGATCACAGGAAGACAGAGGAAATTTAGGTATATGTGGCAGAGGGTATTTTTCCCAAAATATAGCCACAGCAATATTTCTAGTTCCACGTGGGAGACACTTTGCAACTTCATTCTCCCTGAAAAGAATGCAGAAAGGATGCAGTGTGACTTCCAAAGCAACAGCAACACAACTTCTGACTGATGGTACCAAGCTGTGAGGAAGGTCAGCTGGCACACAGGTTAAGTGGTCAGCACTGGCTGCTACCTGGGTTCTGATGCTAAATTTAGCAACATATCTCTTTCTTTGCCATATTTGATGTAACAGTGCTATAATTCAGAGTTGACATATTTTTTTTCATTGAAAATCTCTCATTGTTTCTATTATCATAACAATAGATAATTTTTTTTCTTTGTTTGGTTTCATTTCTACTTGACCCTTAAGTGCCCCAAATCTAGGGTCTTTTCCTCTTCGTATTCCAAACTCTCCTTAAACCTTTTCTTATATATACTAATTCCAGGTACCAACATTTAAACCTCTTTTAGCATTCCAAACTTAAAGACACAATTCCATTTGGATCTATCCTACATGCATCTGTTTGATAGTATACCCAAAGACTAAATTATTGTTCTTAAGTCACAAATTTGCTTCTTACCTGTTTTCCGTGGTTCACTAGATGGTACATCTATTCACTATGCCAATCATTTAGCACATATCTTCGACTCTTCTTCCTCCATCCTCAGCTCAACATCAATTCTGTGCATGCTAACCCCAAAGCATATCTCAAATGCCTCCACTTTCCCCCACACTGTCTTGTGTTTCTCCAAACCACCATCACTGTCATCTTAACTCTATGTTAATGCTCTCCCTCAATTCATTCTTGCTTCCCACACCCTCCCTCATTCATTTCTCAATATATTATAGAAGTGCACCAGAGAGTCCGTTTAAAAACATAAATCTGAGCAATTCGTTCTCCTGTTTACAATCCTCCAATAATTTCTCAGTGTACTTGGTTTAAATTCCAAAATCTTAACCCATTTTGCAAAGTCCTTTGTGGACTGGCTCCTAAACTTCACTGACTACACCCCAACAATGTGGGTCTTCCAACCCTTTCCCAGCACAGGACTTTACACATGCTGTCATCTCACATGACACTCATCCTTGCATCTATTCTCCTGGCTGTCACCAATATGTTCCCACACCCTTAGCCAATGTTAGTGACTCCACTTGGAGAAGACTGTTTTTCCTTCCCAAATAAGTGAGGTTCTACCACACACTCTTATAGCACACTGTGATTTCCTTTCAAAGCATATGTCACAAGTCTTAATTATGTGTTCTTGTATGATCGCATCTGTCACCCTATGACTGGCTCAGCATTGTGTCTTCAGTGCTGTGCACATAGAAGGGGCTCAAAATATTTGTTGAAGAAATGAATACTAATATCCAATAGCGCATGTAAGCTGAAGTACTGCCCTTCCCTTGAATCGTTACACTGGACTAAATAACAATTTAAGTTTGTTAAAAATAAATAAAAAAATAAAAAATCTCATCACTGTTATTATTTTATATAGACAAACTGGTTAACAGGTAATGAGATGGTCAGTTATCTAGGAAACACCTCAGGAGATGCTACCTGTCCTCTATGTCTTGGCTCCTTTTAGTGCTGTGTGCTATTAAACTGTGTGTCTTTCAATCAAGGATAGTGGCCTGAACCTTGCTTTGCACATATACTCAATGGGAGAAACCCAATGCATGTTTGGAGGAATGAGTTATGTGAAGGAACTTCCAAAGCACTGTAAGTATAGCACAAAGAAACCCCAGGATTGTTCTGGAACAACTGAGAAGATGTAAGAGGCAGATGGAATGCTAAGAAATGAAGAGGTCCTACTTTGTGGAGAGAGCTGCTGATTACAGTGTCCTGTAGTACAGAGCTGATGAAGCTCATCTCTTTCAACTGAGGGTTAATGGTGAAGGACAGGCAAGAAAATTGCTAAGAAGCAGCTACATTGTTGGTTGTAAGCACCTATGTATATCTGTGTCTGAACATGGGCATATGCATGCACTTTGTTACACACAAATATACACACACCACTTGTTCTGGAAATCTCTAGGTTTCCCAAGTAAGACCATTACCGCAATGCTTGTTTTTCCTTATTATCTTCCCTAAAAATAGCAGAGTCTTAGTATTCACCAGGAACTTAAAAGTTTTTCTCCCACTATTTCTCAGCCAGAAACTCTGGCTGGTCTGAGTCGTTTTGCAACCATCTCTCCACCAAGGAATTGCATTCCAGTGCAAGGGGCACTGGATCTGGAGCCAGGGGAGGGAAGTGATTTCCAGTTACATCAGACTCTCTGCTGTTAACCACATACAAGCCAGACTCTGGCAGTCTCTCCTTGATCCTGCCATGTCTCTCAGAGGCACTCAAGCTGGCACTTTAAAAAAATGGAAGATGAAAGTATTTTAAATATGACTAGCTATTATTAGGGATCTTTCCTTCATCTGGCTTGTGAATTTTAATTTTAGTAGAAATACATTTAGTTTAGAATAAAGTGGCAATTTTCTCCAATTTATGTGGCACTTCATGTCCCCCTTCCCTTAAAGTTCTGGGGAAACAGAAGTCTCTAAAGAAATGACACACATGGTCCTTACTACTTTCTGATCACCAAAAAAAAAAAAAAAAAAAAAAGCAAGCAGATTTTATCTCCCTCATGTCTTCTTTCCCATCTAAACTGTACAACCAAGAAGAGGACTGCCCAGTATCTCTGTTCTGTCTCCATAACAGTCATCAAACTGGTCCTGTAGGGGCAGGGGTTGTAGCTCAGTGGGAGAGCATTTGCCTAGCACATGTGAGGCACTGGGTTCCATCCTCAGCACCACATAAAAATAAATAAATAAAATAAAAAATAATCGTGTCCACCTACAATTATAAAAAATTTTCAAAAAAAATGAGCATGTAAGCCAGTGAAAAAAGGCCAAAGAATAGAAAATAAGCCTGGAAATTGCTGTTAAATTGATCCAATCGGTCAATTTATTTTTTAAGTGAATGTTCTCTTTGCAAAACATAACTTGTGCTTCAGAATAAAAGCAAAATGGTATATGGCACACTATTGCCATGGAGAAGGGAAATGTAGGGATTCATGCTGTGGTAGTCTTCAAACATTTTGTCAAGACCTACTTCTTTTTTAGATCAACATTCCCATCTCTACAGCACTAATTTTGTAGCTAGTGCTCTTCATAGAAGGGTCATTCTGACCCTCTGGGAACCTCTTCTGGGAACCAGAAACCTGACTACTGTTTCAGTGAAAAACTCTGCCTAGAGAGGGAACAGAATAAGAGGGCTATGTGAAGAACAAGGCAGGCCTTGCTGACCTGCTTCGCAGGAGGATGAGGAGATGCAGCAAGACCCTACGATGCTCTTGAATGACAGGAGTAGGAATTCATAGGTTATGTTCAAACAGGCATACCAAATTCTCAACAGAACAAATTAAGAAGGAACAAATTTCTGACTGAACCAAAAGGAGAAGGAAAAATTACAATAGAGAGCATTAATTGGAGTCACAAAGCACAGCCCCTTTAATTCAAGTTCCTCATCGGGTCTACTGAAGCTTGACCCTGGAGTAAACATGTACATTCCATTAATAAAGTAGAAGCAATGCAGCCAGGAAGGGCTGATAGAGAAATTATCTCTTTGGCTTAATTGCCAAAGGCATTTCAGAATTTGTCAGTAGAAAATGCAACTATTATGTGGCCGGGTACACACTTAAATCTGAAGTGGACACCAGATTAGCCAAAGGCTCCTACATCTAAAACATCCAAACAATTCTACTCTTACTCTTTTAAAATCTACAGTCAAGGGGGGATATTTCTGGCTCCCTTAGAGGTTCTCCACATTAATAGTTTATTTCTTCAAGATCTCTACGGCTATGTAGGGCTGCAACCTGGCCTGACTGTAGAACCTGAGCAGCTCCCGCTTTACTATCAGGGAGTGTGGCCAGCACTGGGTGGACAAGGTCACCAAGGTCACAGAGAACACTGAGTATGGGGTCTGGGAGGGAGGATTAACAGATCCTAGAGAAGATACACAGAACACAGCATGACAAAGCCACTATTTGAAGAAGGTAGAATTAGTATATATATATATGTGTGTGTGTGTGTGTGTGTATGTGTGTGTTTAGAGAGAGAGATGGGAGGGAGAAAAGAGAGGAAGGAAGAAAGAAAAAGGAAGAGAAAAGAGAGTATGAAAGAAGTAGGCAAGGAAAGAGAGGGAGTCCTGCCTGTTGGGAGGTCTCTCCTTCAGTTTCCAGGTGATGAAAATTCAAGACTTCGATGGATGGATACAGTGAGAAGCAGGAGGAAGGGGTCCATATAAGGGGCATTTTGAAGAAGAAAGACTCAGGAAGATATGATGGCTGATTGGATAAAAGAGATGAAGGCGAGGCAAGAGTGAGGTTTTTGAGTTTGGGAGACTAGCAGCTGTGTGGGGCCATCAGTAAAGCCAGATAAGTTTAAAAAAGAAAAAAAGAAAGAAAAGAAGAAGAAGAAGAAGAAGGAAAGAAAGCTTGCTTGGGGAGAAGACTAAAAATAGAGAGGCGGAGGGGGCTATGTAGAGTTATTTGAACCCAGGAATGTGGACTATGAGGAGGTGACCTGGTGTTTCCTAGAAGTTCTCACATTATAAGTGGAAAACCAGACTTAAAGGGGAAGATTGAGGGAGGGGTCAATACTAAAAATATGGAGTTGAACTTTTAAGATAAAGAAATGACACCAATCAGTGAAATCGAGAGAAGGAGAGAGGCAATTTATCAGAAGCAGCCGAATAGTGAAATGTTGAGGAAATGATCATTTCTTCTCTATTTCCAGGACTGTGAGTGCAGCTCACTGCACTGGAATTACCTGTCTACCACTCTTCCAGCCTGTTCAGGGCAGGGACCTTGCATCCCTCCTCGGTTCCTGCAGTATCTATCCGGTGCACCTCCTCCATAGAAGCCTACCCGCCATGACATCCAGATTAAGGGCACAGGTGGAGAGGTGGCTGCCTACATGGTGACACTGCTAGTTTTGCAGGTACTCAATTCCCTGGCATCAAGAAAGAAAACTGTAAAGAAGCTATAACTTCAGAACCAGAGGTCCACCTCAGATCCTCCTTTCTCCTTAACCTGATCTCTCTACCGTTGCTTCTTTACAGACCCTTCCAATGTGCCCCCTGCTACGCTAGTCAAAGGAAGAATTCGAGACACACAAAAAAAGTCTTGTTACAGATTTAGGCTATATTCCACTCAAAAAGGCAAAGATAGCAGTTTTAATACTACAGTTCATAGAGCTGTAGGGAAGATTAACAGAGAAATGCATGAAAAATGTCTTGGCCTAGAATCTGGCCCACAGGAAGCAGCCAGAAGTGTTAGCGTCACTACCCGTAACAGCAAAATCATTGATCATGCTGCACACCTAGTGCCTAGCACATTCTTGGCACAGAGCCATTGCTCAAAAATGAATGAATAAATTGAACCCAATTAAATACAGGCCTTCATCACTCCCCAAGGTCCCTCATGTGTTGATGATTGTACACACATTCAAAATAAAGCACCTCCTAATTTTAGATTCCTCTCTTATAAAGGTGATGTGTACTTATATTTGGAGCCCCAAACAGGTAGTCAGTGTTCTGACAAAATGAAATGTTAAAAAACTAGAGTGGGATGGAAATAATGTTAGAAATATTTTAATCCAAGATCACTCTACCCATATACTGTAGATAAAACTAAATTAAGAAAGCAGGTTGGTTGAAAAGCGCTTCCTAAATATTAATTGACATAAAGCACAGTGCTCATCTCAGACTGACACAGAGATAATTGAGGTTTCTTAAAGTCTTTGAGATCTTTTAGCAGAGTTGAAGGAAAGGAAAATGTATCAGAGCAACCACAGAAGAGTGTATTAGAAAAATGACATAGTATATTGGTTGAAAAGTAAGCTCCAGGAAGTTCTGGGTTTTAAGCCAGGTTAGGGGATTTAGTGCCCATAATTTAACCAGGGCTAAGTGAAGGGACAGAGAGCATCCTGTTTGGGGTGATGCTCCCAGGAGAGGTACAGGAACAGAGCGGGAGTTTGCCATGTGGAGGCTGATGAATGTGGAAGGGGTTTTGTTGGGAATCAAAATGTTGAGACTGATGAGGTATAATGAATAGGAGCTAAAGAACACTTGGCTACAGGAAACTGGAGGTAATACAGCTCACTACAGAAGGCCAGTTTAGATCCTTGAACAGAAGGAAAGAGTTTCTTGAAGACTGAAGCCACAGTTAGGAACACTTGTTGAGTTTTGAGAAAATGACTCAGGGTTCATCAAAATGTCCAGTCAACTGGTGCCCTTCCACAGTTTCTCAGTCTGCTCTATGCTCCCACCATCTACCATTGAGAAATCCACTTCTAGCCTTAGCTTCTTTTGTAACTGTAGATGTTATGCACTGACTGTATCAGATCTCTTTATATTCATGCTCCTTTTCTGTCAATGCAAACCAAACCAAATAAACAAACAAACAACAACAACAACAACAAAAAGTAACTGTAAGAGGTCAGTGAGTATAGCAGAAAAAATAAAAGTATATGTTTGGAATGAGATTGCTATGTTCTAGTCAGGGGATAGTGGAGAAATATTTTTGGAAATATATCCATATGCTTTTTCTGCCTGCATGTCTACACATCTGATCTCCATGGCCAGTCTAGGTGTCCCCTGCCTGAGATAATGTAGGAGGAGAATGCCTTTGGGATGTTGCAGACAAATACAAATTGATACTCTCTAGCTTCTTATACTCAGAATTGGGTTTTCAAAGGTGCAAGATAATAACATTGACACTCATATTAAGCCAGACAATAAAGGACTCCAGGATTTTATATCTACTTTAGCAGGTGGAATTAATCAGAAACTTAAAAACTAATTGTGGTGATGTTGGGGTTAATGACAAGGGAGAGAAAGAGAAAAAGCCTGTTCACCTCCTCCAGGGTAGGACCATCAGGCAGGGAAGCTGGCAAGGAGACATGGGGCCCAACTTTGGGCCAGAGATGAAAAGTATTAAGACAAAAACTAAGGCCAAAGATTCTCTAGCCCACCCTCTGCTTGGGGGTTTGTGAAGAGGTTCCTCTCAGACCTGTTTCTAAATAAGATCAGCTACACCAGAGTAAGACCTTGCAGTCAATGGAAAAGGACAGAGTTGAGCTCCTTAGCATTTACGTGAATTTGAGGGTATGAGGAGGAGAAATCCAGAGGATCTCACATGTTGCATGGAAAAAAGGGATAGTAGTGTCAGGGAGTGGTATGGAGTTGCAGTCCAAACTGAAGTAATCTGAGTCATCATTGGGGAGATTCATCAAAGGAACATGGCTTCTAGATGATTGCTGGCATTGAAGAAAGAGATCAGACGTTTCCCTAGGCACATGTTTCAGGACACACCATGTAAGCCCAGACTAGCCATGCTAGAGCAAGATAAGAAAGTGTTTTAGTCAGATTTTTGGTTGCTGTGACTAAAAGATCTGACCAGAACAATTTCAGGAAGAAAAGTTTATTTGGGGGCTCACAGTTTCAGAGGTCTTAATCCACAGAAAGTAGGCTGCACTCCTCAGGACTCAAGGTGAGGCCGAACATCAGGGCAGAAGAGCGGTAGAGGGAAGCAGCTCACATGATGATGAGGAAGCAGAGAGAGACTCCACTTGCCAAATACAAATATATATCCCATAGCCATGCCCTCCCCACCCAGTGAACTACTTCCTTCAGCCACACCCCACCTGCCTCCAGTTCCCACTTAGTTAATCTCATCAGGGATTAATTCATTGATTAGGTTAATGCTATAACCCAATCATTTCTCCTTCAAAGCTTCTTGCATCTTCTCACATGTGAGCTTTGGGGGACACTACCCATCCAAAGCATAACAGCAAGGAACCATGGCATACACAATAGCTTCAAGGATACCACCTGTGTTGCCCACTTCAGGACAGTCAGCCCAATGCCTTCCTAGGGAAGAAAAGGGAGGTGGATTTCTAAAACACCACTGAAAAAGAGACTATTTAAATTAGTGCTAATAGGAAGCCAAATTTTGAATAGACTCAACATTTAAATTGAAACAAGGGTTTAACTGACAAGTCTTCAAGACCCCATCACACACATTTATGAAAAAAACACTTCAGTTCCAGAAGATAAGGAGATTGTGTGTGTGTGTGTGTGTGTCTGTGTGTTCTGAATAAATTTACAACCTTTCCCACCTGGCCCTGCTGTATTCTAACTGTGTCACACTGAGAATGTTACTTAACATATCTAAGTTTCAAAATCCTGTGAAGACATCATAGTATCCTTCCCTTGGGGGATCTTAATGAGTCCATTCATGTAAAATGCTTGCACACGATTAACTTTGAATAAAGTATTTCCCAATTTTGTTAGCATTTCTACTATTACATTCAACAAAGTTCCGTTTGTCCTGTTTCAGAATGGCTGAACATTTGTCAAGAAGTGTCAAAGTACTATATTCCTGACATTCCTCATTTATGATTTCATAGGCTCGAATGCATTCCCACAAGCATAGGAATGCCATTCTGGGGATAAATAAGAATTGCTGCTTTTATACCTTCCCTGATTCTTTCTCAGAATGGTAAACATCATGGTCCTTAAAATGGTACAGAAATTAACTAGGGATATTTCTTATGAATAATGTTAGCTGCAACAAGACAGAGTAAAATGATGGAGGTATTTGTAGGACCTGATGGTGAAACCTGCTCTGTCTTAGGGATCTGTTCAGAAGATGATCCAGCTACAGGCAACAGACAAACCTCATGGATGGAGAAAAATGGCCAAGGGGAAGACTTCCTGTGACTCTGCAGGCATTTTCAACCTGCATGACAGAACACTTCCATGCCAAAGTGCTCCTGGAAAATTCCCTATAATGAAATTTTCAGACTTGTTTGCCATGGAAAATTCCAGATATTAACTAAACTGATGCTTCATTCTAGATCTTTCAGTTTTCTGAGATAATCTGGTGAACACTGAGGGGGGTTTAGTTAAAAGAGGAAGAGATTTGGTGGACTGTGGTATATACATCTCTAGGCTCTAGGGGTATGCAAACATGTATGGTGAGTACAAAAAAGCACAATGATGCCTGATACAGCAGTGTTCCTAGGGGATCATGTGGTTTATGTGATTTTTCCATGTAACTCATGCTTACTCTTTAAATAATAAAAATAAGGAATCATAAATAAGACACTGTCTCATTAAATTGTCTTCTTTTTTTTTTTGGCAGGGCAGTGGTGGGACGAGTACCAGAGATGAACTCAGGGGCACTCCACCACTGAGCCACATCCCCAGCCCTATTTTGTATTTTATTTAGAGACAGGGTCTCACTGAGTTGCTTAGTGCCTCACAGTTGCTGAGGCTGGCTTTGAACTTTTGATCCTCTTGCCTCAGCCTCCAGAGCCATTGGGATTACGGGCACACCTGGTGGGTTGTCTTCTTAAATGGAACATTTCTGTTTTTGATGGATCAATCATTTGAGTATTGGCTACTTCATGTTGGCATCCTGGTAAAATTTTTCTCAAGGTTTAATTCAAATCACTGGGCTCTCACCCAGGAAGTATCTAACCTGCTTCTCAGAGGATTCATAACTCATGCCAGAGAGGCCATGACTCAGGGTGACGTGAGGGTTGAGGGAGCTGTCCTTTCCCAGAAATATCCACAGGTAGCTGCTCTCTTTTAGAGAAGTCTCTGTTACTTTCCTCTACAGTGGAAACCTTCCAGGAGAGTACAAGCTTTAAGTCTATAGGCCAGTTTGCACAGAACTCTCTGGCTGAGCTCCTGGCCTTTGTGATATCTACTTTCCATCCATGGGCCTCTTACCTCCATCCAGGTTTGGGGCCTGAAGCTTGAAGCCGACCAGCCATTTCAGCCCAACAGAACAAGGTGGAACAGTGGAACTAAATGCTAAACACAGAAATGTGACCAGATGTTCAGAAGACAGAATGGTTGATGGACAGCTTTGTGAGAGAAAAAAAAAATCCAAATATTCCTTTAAGGTGCTTATCCAATGAGCTCTTGGGATCAGTGAAAATGAGCTCAGAGAATAAAGAATGTTGGAAGACATGGCTGCTACTTTAATGGGAAGCTGTGTCTCCTCTACCACAGAAATACTTTTTCTCATAGTGACCTAGTGCTACACACCAGTCCATCCACTAGGTTATGAAGAACTGGGACAGCAGAGATGGAAGGACTTTGGAGTTGCAAAACTTGGCTTGGAATCCAGGCTGGTATGTGTAGCTGTGGGCAAGTCAGTAAGACCCAGGTGACTGACTGGACTTATTTGAGAACTGGACAGAGAATACACACCCTCCCTGAAATGCTGTGTGGCTCTAATGAAGTAATGGATATGAAACATCTTTGTAAACTGGAGAGAATTTTACAAATATTTAATTGGAAATATTCTGCATTATGTACATAATTTAAATGGCTGTAGCATTTATCTATAAAGTAGAATGCTAAGAAAAGCCCTAGACTGGGAAAAAATTCAAATATGGTAATTATCTTATATAAATAAACCTATCATATTATTCATTGTGCAGTTTAAATATCTGCTGTGCTTTTGTACTACAAAAAAAGATATGCAGAAACAAAAAATGAACAGCTCATGTTTAACATTCTCTTAAAATATGTTGTTCTTATTTTCTGGATTAAAGGATAAGGGAAAAGTTTATGAAATCTTCATTCTATTTTCAATATACTCTTTCATAACATCAATTTCTTAATGTCAACTTTGCTTGCATGATTTATTAGCTGAAATTATAGAATGCTGGATACAAAATGATAGGGAGAGAAGAGAGAATAACTAGTAAGTCCATATGGAATCCAAGAGGTCTTGCCTAAAATTTAAAATCTACTAAAGATAGGAAGAGGGAGTCTAATTTATAAAACCTAACCATTGTCTGGCTTCACATTATGATTTTTAGCTGTTCCTTTATATTTTAAAATAGAAGACTTTTTCTTTTTAAAGCAAAGCTAGTTCTTTCAGCAGAGAATTAAAAGCAGACGGAGTCCCAGATAATAAGTACCAATAAAAGCTTTAGCTGACATAGCTTCAATTTAGAAATCACTGGTTTTTCCTGGCAGGACTTGAGGAAAGAGGGTCAGAAAGCTTTGCAAGCATAGCCTGGATGAGGAAGATATGAAAACCTTCACAATTAAAGATGCTTTCAGCATCTTCTTCTAAACCACTTGATTTGTGATAGCCATGGTAAAACTCCAGGGAAACACCCCACAGTCTGAACACCCTGGTGGTGGGAAACTATGTCCTTGTGTTTTCTTAGTTGGGCCTTATTTTGACAAGTTCACTCACTTTGTTGGTAGGAGCCCAATCAATCATGTGCATGCAAAAAGATGTGTGGTTTAGAATCTGCATGTATTTCAACTTCTTTTTAAACTTGAGCATTAGGAGACCCTCATGAGAGTATTAAAAAGTAAGTCAGTAAGAAGCAAGTGTTCTGAAGCCAAAAGGATATAGTGTCATTCATGGCAACTGATACCATTTCTCAAAAAAATGTTAATGACAAAATTAGGGTTCACAGGAGCACAAACACTCTGGGGTATTTTTTGTAAGACCCAGAGGACTACCAATAAGAAGGAACTGGTGAAATTGCTAGACATAGAGAGCAAAGTGGAGAGACACTGTGGGGAAAGACTTTGTCACAGCTTACGAAATAGCATGGGTGAGAATCGGGAGTGGCTGAGGAGAGCAGGACAGGTCATTGCAGCCAGCAGAAAACTCAAGAGCCCACAGGTCAGCGTGGGAGGGTGCTGCAAGCAGCTCAGAGGCCCCAGTGAAAGCGAACCATGCAGGCCACCCCTCAGAAGTGGCCGTCCTTCCCCCTCTCCACTCTTCCTTGAGAAAGGATTTTCTCTAGGTTCTCACTGGTGCAAAACATTGGACACGTTGCTTCTAGGACAAAATTGAAGCTGTCATGGGGAGTTATCTTCTTACGTTCTCACCTTTTCCCCCTTTCAGGATAAGCATAACTCTGCTTATTGAAGTCCTCAGAGAACAGAGAGGGCTTTTAGAAGAAAAATTCTCTTCATCTTTCCTGATTTCAGTGGGTTTCCCTCAGGCGCTGTTTTCTGATCCTTTCATCCCCAAGTGACTTAACCTCCTCACATGGCTCTCCCTGCTGATGGCTTTCGAAAATGACTTCATCCTCCCTCCTCCTCTATCCGGCTGCCCAAATGACATCACCTTGGGACTCAGCTTCCCCTCTTTGCCCCTAAAGCCTGCCTTTTCTCTTTCCTTTATTATTATTAAAAACAAACAAAACATTCCAATTTTTGCCAGCTTAAGAGAGTTTTCTGTTATTCTCTCTTTCTTCTACCAAATCTCATCTATTCTTACTCTAATCTTATTAATTCTCATTATTTTCAGTATAGATTATTTTAATGGGTAACATATGCACATGGCACAAAATTTAAACGGCACATGGTGAAGCTTCAACCTCATTCTCATCTCTACTCCTCTCACCCCATCCCCCAACCTGGTTCCCTACCCTGGAAGTAATTGCTGCACAAACTGCTCCTAGATGCACCCCCCACACCTTAATTTAAAATGGAAAAATAAAATAAAATAAAATGAAACCAGAATCTAAGGGTCATACGTGTTACTTTGCTAGCTTCTTCTCAGGCTCTCTATCTATTTAAGGAATTTCTTCATTATTTCACACACATTAATCCAAAGGCTTCTCACTTATGGTTCTTCCTCCTCCTAAGTGGATATTTTCTAAGGCTCCATGAACCTTTCACTGCACATGAACTATTTTTTGCTTGTCAGCACTGCAGTGTTCCACCTCTAGGGGCCCAGGACAGAAATTATTAAAAAGAACAAAGCAGAAAAGACCCTCACCCCTTAATCTGTTTATATAATTAATCTATCTTGAGAAATATCCCTTATTTCCATGTCAGAAGACACCAGCAGAACCACAGTAAGGGATCAGCATCTAAATGACAATAGTTGTCTTGGAATCACAGCTGGGGAGAGAATTTTAAAAGATGGATGGACAAATAGATGGGTGGTTGGATAGAAAGAACCAATCAACTGTGAAGTGTTACCAAGTTCTAAAATCATATTTCATGTGATAGTAACAACAGAGTCTGATTAATGCATGTGGGAATTTCATTTCAAAGTTACACCAATGGGCTCTTAGGGCTTGCTTCTAATAGGGCTCCCGAGTCCATGTAACACTGGCCCATTTAAGACTTCAGGGCTCCTATCTATATGAGTTCGGATGATCTTGTTTAATGATTGAGTGTGGGCTAACTGCCGAAGATAAAACAGAAGTTTTTCACTTGCGATACTCTTCCTATACATGGAACTGTTCTAAAAATTTTATGCTTAAAGAAGGATGATGTGCAAATTTTAAAGCTGTTTTCTGTTTAAGGTTTTCCTTTTATCAAAAAATCATGGAGGAAAAGTGAAGCCACTCTTGGAGAAAAGACTGATGAAAGTGATCGAGAATCAGGCACTTTCAGAGAACAGAGTCCCCACTGACGAGGACATTAAGTGGGTAATATGTGGGCCTCCCTTCTTTCAGGGTGTCCTTGTTAGATGAGGATTTGATCAATTATCAAAGAACAAGAAATCATCTAACTTCTTTTTTTTTAAATCTCAGAATTGTGAGAAAATCCAGTTTTCTAACCAGTCATTCTTTTGAATGGATTAAATACTAAAATACAAATACATGCAGGTCTTGGGATGCAAAAGGATTCTGATTCACTGAGAGACTGGGAGACCTGTGAAACTTCACATAACTCCATTACAGGTCAATACTGCTTGCATAATCTTATTAGAAACTCTTTGCTGAGGGTTAACAAAAATAATCCAATCATTTAACAAAGCATTATTCAAAACTGTCTAATATCCCTCGATGACAAACAGAGAACACAGTTTTTTTTCCAAAGGCAACTGTGATTTAGATCTTTCTGAAATATTAACTCTCTGTAGCCAGCTTATAAATCCAGCTTGATGTAAAAGTGACAGTCTAGACAACCATCAAACCATTATTCTTGCTGTCACTGAAAATTCTGTAAAGAAGAAAGGATTTGAAGAAAATTCTCTTTGACCTTAATAAAAGCACTTGTACTGTAAAGCTGCTGGTATTTAGGAAACAGTAGATAGATACACTGTTCCTGTTTGAAATTAAATAAAACCCACATTCTATTTTACTACCTATGTAA